GAGAAATACATGAAACAATTTCATTAAAATTTCATTAACTATTATATGAAACAATTTCATAATCATATATGAAACAACTTCTTCAAAAAAAAATTATATGAAACAATTTCACAAAATTAAACAATTTCATGAAAAAATTTCATAAGATTAAACAATGAAATTAACGGATGAGGATGATTTATACAGTTTATACAAATTGAATGGTTTACATTTGATCGCTCCTCTCTCTGTGTATATATAATTTTTTTGGGTGGTTTTTTTTTTTTTGGGGGGGGGGGGGGGGGGGGAATTGTTAACATCCCTCATTATTATAGGTGGCAAAATGAGTATATATATGTATGAACATTAACTTATATGTAGTAAAATGGAGGGTTATCAAGTCAAAATAAGCAAATCTTTAGGAGCGTTGGCCGGATATATTTTATTTATTTTCTTTAAATAATAATATATTAAATATATACTACTAGAATACTGGACATTACTGACAAAAAGTAACCGTCGAAAAACCATCAAAAGTGGCCTTTACGATGGTTTTCGGACAAGGAATAACTGCCAAAAAACCACTGGAAATGGTCTTTACCATATAGTTGAAAAAAAATACTATTACTAGACTAAGGGGATGTTTGGTTAGATGTATTAAGCAGTAATCAATGAGAACAAAAATAAACGAAACTGTTTGGTTTCCTATAATATGATGGACTCATACCCACAGAAGCCCAAAATTTCATTTTTGGTTAAATTGGGGGAATGAAAATTCATTACCAATTATTTTCATTCCTCAACATGAGACAAACAGACCCTAACATCTAATTTTTTCCAACAGAACAATTTAAAATCTTGCAAATATTTTATATATATACCTTGGAAGATCTTTAAACCATTCGACGTAAGGGTGAACAGCGAAACCAGGTACCCACTTGCAGAACCGAAACCGATATGAGTGGTTCTAGTTTCTAAAATACGGAACCGATTGAGAATGGTTTCGGTTCTCAATTTTTCGGAACCGTTACTCGCCGGGACCGGGTATCCGGAAGCGGCGGGTACCCTAAACCGGAACCGCCAGGTACCCGGTATTTTTCAATTAAAAAATAATTAATTATTTTAATATTAAATTTAAATTAAGTTAAGAACTTATAACTCTAGATTCAGAATTTGAGATAAGTTAAACTTTGAACCTTTACAATTATAGTATGTAATTGTTAAACTTTCAACATTTACTATTAGTCTATTATGGTTTGTAATCATTAGACAATATTTGTAACAATTATTTCATATAATTTGTATTCTTATTTATTTATTTAGTGTTTTGGCAATGTTTTATTTTTTATTTCTAAATAACAAAATTTTAATATTTTAGAAAGCGGGTACCGGAGGCAGTTCCGGTTCCAAAAATTCAAGAACCGCTCTAACCGGTTCCGGTTCAATATCTCAATAACCGCCGGTTTCGGTTCCTGTTAAATCAGACGAGTACCTGTCTATGCTCACCCCTAATTCTACCCATTTGTTTTTTTATTTAATTTGTTTTATTTAACTCGATGAGTAGGGTTGTAAACGAACCGAACGAACACAAACGGGGTCTTGTTCATGTTTGTTCGTTTAACTTAACCGAACAAACGAACGAAAATCTTTGTGTTCGTGTTTGTTCGTTTAGAAATCAGGTGTGTTCGTATTCGTTTATGTTCGTTCATTAACATGCTAAACGAACGGATTAAACGAACAAAAATAAATATTATTTGAATTCAAAGTAAATAAACAAAAGATTATATATTAAATTTAGTACATAAACGAACGGTAAACAAACGAATGTTCATGAACATAAATGAACGAACAGAACTCTTGTTTATGTTCGTTCGTTTAACTAAACGAATAAAAAAAATTGTTCATGTTCGTTCATTTATTAAATAAACGAACTTCCTGCCGAATGGTTCACGAACGGTTCGCTGAACGTTCGGTTCGTTTACAACCCTATCGATGAGGATAAAATAACCTGATGTATTTTTACGTAAATTGATTAAATATGTTCCATCTATATATTTTATCGATGAAATTTTAATTTTTGTGTTCAACAATCTCGAATTCAATTAAAAACCTAATTACTTTATTTTTTATAATGATATTTTACTCTAATTATTATTAATAACGTGTAACAGAAAGAAATTGAAATCATAAACTAATTTAGGTCCGATCTAGCAATGTCCGCCATTTACTAGGCTTCGATCAACTCAACCCCTTGTCTCTTTCGGAATGAACCGAACCTCGGGACATTAAATCTTAAAAAAAAAACATATCCTACGATTACTAAGTTCAGAACCAAATTTTAATCATATTTTGTATTACTGTTTGTTTGTTGACATCTGTTATAAATTTTTTAATAAAACTAATAAATAAATCATATAATAAAAAAGGTCATATAATTTATTTATTTATTTATTTGATGGAAATAATCGAAATTTAAAAGGGGTTTATATATAGAATCTCATAGTCGTAATCATACAAATATTTACAAGAGCTAACTTCCACACAATGACACAAATGATAAAACCTTGGAGAAATGCTAAACTATCAAATAAATTAATAACTATATATATTTTTTATTTAAAGCATTTTGTATAATATAAATATTTATAGAAAACCGTCTGACTATTTAAAATCAACGGGTATTTGAACTCGAATTCAGTAATTGTTGAGTTCGAGTCGATCTTGAACATAAAAATAGAACTCGTTTAACTTAACGAGGTGAGCTTAATAACACCAATATTTGAACCACAAGGGTTGTGTCTGATTGATTTGAGTTTGGCTCCAGATGTCAAAAGTATCAGGAGATCACGGGTTCAAATCAAAGGAGGAATAAAAATCCTCTTGTGGCCACGGAGGTTCAAATGTGGTGACTCCGGGCTATCTGCAAAGCAAGTGGTCGTCATGGGATTAGTCGGCTCGTATAGCAGGTTGGATATCCAGGTTAATAAAAAAAAATAACACCAATATTCGATTTGACTTATTTGACAACTCGATCAACTTTTTCAAGTTGAGTCGGGTCGTTCGAACATATATTTTTCGAGCCAAACATACTCATATGTTAATAAACCATGCAATAAAAATATAAAAAAAATTATCAACTGGAAGCCAGTAATCGAGTTAGAGTTCGAGATCCCATAAACGAGGCTTGAGCTCAATAACTTACATAATAATATTACAGCTCAAACCTATTATTTTTTTTTTAAGTCAAACTTGGGTAACCTACTATTCGTCTCGTCTCGCCGCGACTCGTTTACACACTTACATGTATCTTCATCGGTAAACACGGACCGTTGTTCATATATACATGATAGTGAACTAACACATGATCATTTACGGTTGCAGATGATTTTATAAATATATAAACATGCAACTTAATTTGTTCCATAAAATTTTCAATGGTTAGTTTGATAAGCAATTAAAATCATTTATCAAATATTTAAAATATAATTCAATAAATAAAACAAATATAACAATATATAGTATGATACAACAATTTTGTACAGTTCTATCGATGAAAAAAATGACCATAAACATGATCGTAACATAAAAATAGCCATAAATAATGCAAGTTAATTTCCTTAAGACAAAAAAAACATTTAATACGACAATTAAGAATAGGAAAGAAAATATTGGGCAGAGTTTGCATCGATCTTTTATCTAATAAATACATCCCTTCCATAAATCGGGTTTTGCTGTACGTATTAAACTCTAGAATTTTGCGGTTATATTTTTCCAATTTTATACAATAACATTAAAGAAACAATCAAAGTACGAGGACTTAAAAATAGCCCATTTGGAAAATCACAAAAGTATTTTAAAAAAAAAAGAAAAGAAAAGGACAATTTGGTCACAATAAAAACCCTACAATTAAGACCAAATAAGTCAACCATTTAAATGAGTTCCCAATAACCCGACCCGAAGATAAATCGGATTCCATTAATGAACTATATGAGAAATCCGGGTTTGACCCGTAGAGCGCCTGGATCCCCTCCACGTCATCAATCTTAAGATCCACTTTCTTCGTTCTAGGACTCAAACTCGGATACATGATTGCATCTTTGACCGAAGAATGGGCCAACCCGAGTATATGCCCGATTTCATGGGTCGCAACCGATTCCAAATCAACGGCCACCTTTGATTTACTTAATTTAAAATCAACGGCCCATGTTTCAGCTTCATCTAAATGGAGTCTACCGTTTTCCGGCGAGAAAGCGTGAGCCAACACTCCCAAAACGCCGTCGAACGGCTCTCCATCGCCATGATCGCCTTTGTGAAATCCGATTTTTATATCTGCAGTCGAGTAACTGTCTGATTCAAGGAAGTTGACCGGAATCACAGACGACCACCGCGAGAAGGAGCGTCGGAAAGCATCTTGTACGTCGGAGGAACTAAGATAATCGATCATATGATTACCGGAAAAAGCGTAGGTTAGCGTCGTCTGAGCCGATCTCCCCCACCTCGGCTGACCGTAGAAATACGCATAGTGTTTAGTCACGTGGATATTATCCATCGTTTTCGTTGCATCACTAACGCCACAGCGCGGCGATATGATCTGTGTGACAGTACCGGCGTCGAGCTTTCCGGTCACCGTCAATCCGAGGTTTTTCTGGTAGTTGACTACGGCATATTCAAGGTTATCATCGAAGACATCAGTGAAGTTATCAACGAGGTTATCAGGGACTTGGAGGTATCCGAAACGGTGGAAGTATTTCTTGAGCTCAGACATGCCGGAGAAATTGGCTCCCTTGCCGGCGTCGATGAAGTTGACGAAGTTGTTCCAGGTGGCGTTGGGAGAGAGGTCGGCTGGGAATAAATCGGCGGGAAGGATTCTGGCGGGAAATAGAGAAGGGAGAAAGAAGAGGAAGAAGAAGAAGGAGTTGTAGTAACTGAAAAACTGAAACATGTTTTATTAGTTGTAAAATAGGATTTGTAAAGTGTTCGAAGTTGTATTACCAACACAAATCAAACTATTTATACGGACAATAATATTCTTTATATATATATATATATTGGACATATTTCAAATGCAATCATATCCATTTGTACAACCAATGCAACTCAATCAATTTAGATATTTATAGAAATGATAAGAGTTGATTTATTATAATTTGAATACTTATGTAAGATGACTAGAGTTCATTAATTATGATCAATACTATATATTATGAAACAATCAAAACTTTTATGATATCATATATTCATCAAATTAAATGGACGGTTGAGATTGAGTTGTATTGGTTGTACAAATGCAAAAGATTGCATAATAACTCACCTTTCTTTCTCTCTCTCTCTCTCTCTCTATATATATATATATGTATGTATATACAAAAGATTCAAACGAGAACACACTTTAAAATAAAAGAATACGAGAACAATCAAATCATATGTGAATATACATTGAAATTGTACATGATTATAAGAACGGTCAATACAGGTTATGAGTTATGATGGCCAAATATGATCATATATGATTTGATTATTTTCGTGAGAACGAGAGTTAAGGCGAGTTTTGTGTATTTGGTTTCATGTCTCGTTTTATGAATGCAATTGATTACAAGTTTTGTATTTTTCATCGATTGGATTGATTACGAGAGATGATGTGTAAACCGTTTAAGGGGTTCTTTGTTTTGTTTTTTAGGTAACCAATTCATTGTGTTAGATTTACTATTATACCCTTATGATGAATTTATTTTAATAATCTTGAGAAATTATAACAATCCTTAACAAAAATACACATTTAACTATTTTTGTCCATAAATTAATCAATGAGAGCAATGGTCAAGATTAGTTTGTATTGTTTGTACAAATGCATATGTTTGTAAATTAACTCACTTCTCTCTCCCCCCCCTCTCTCTCTCTCTCTCTCTCTCTCTATATATATATATATATATATATCCAAGAAAGTAACATATGTTACGGTTTGAATTTTTGGTTTTGTTGGTTACGATCAAGTTATGATATCTTGTTGTTCATGACATTACTCAAAGTAAAGAGGATTAATGTTAGTCAACAACACCCTTCTATTCAAATTAAATATATAGCAATATGTTAGCGTTATTTTTTAGGTAATATGTATTAAAAAGAGTTAAAACTGTAATTTTGTTTAACCTTTTCTTTTTGTAAATACAGTTTCAAAAGATACCTTAAATAAAATAAAGTTATATTTTTGTAGATTTATATTTAAAAAAAAGTATCAAATTACTTGTTTTTATTTTTGTAAGTATATAAATTAGATAATATTTTAACAAGTCAAGACGTAAAAAGAGCAATTAATAGGAATGGGACATTAGCATCTCAATCTTTATGGATGATTTATTATTATTATTATAAAATTTGATTTAAAAAAAAAACAAAAAAATATATATATAATAAGAAAATAGATATTATAAAAAAAACCAATAACATCTCAATCGGATGAATTAAAAGAAAACAAAAAAGATGAACCGGAAAATGGGAGTTTGGAAGAATCTTGAGAGCAAAATGCAAAGGGGTTTGATTTCTGATTCTGACTAGTTTTTGACGGCGATGTTCTGTAGTGGGTGAACCACTAGCTTGGTGCTTTCTATTCTATTCTTTTCATTTTCTTTTATTTTATCTAATAATTCCACAAATAAATAACACCTTAATAATATATATATATATATATATATATATATATATATATATACATACCTACATACATATATGTATATATATAGGGTTAGGTTTATATGTTACAAGATTGTTTTCTTGAGACACGTGAGACTACATTTTTATACTTGAAACTTCACAGCAAAACACTGTTAAGGTAACATTCACAGTGTTTTTGCTGTGAAGGTTCAGTTTTTTTTATCTTCACAACATTTTATTATGAAATTTAAGTGTAAAAATGTTGTCTCAAATATCTCATCAAAACAGGTTGGTCTCACGTGAACCAACCATGTATATTTATATATATATATATATATATAGAGGGTGGTTCAAATACTAACCCATTTTTTTGTGTTAACTATACTAACCAACATCAACCAATCACATTCTTTCTTTACTTTATGTTCACATATAACTTATAAATTGAATACAAGGGTCATTTTGTAATTTGACCTTTATGTAACTCCTTAATAATTATTTGGGAGTTACAAATCTTTTAAGATCCCTCTAATTGATCATGAGGTAATTCCGATGTTCACGRTGTTCATGGTGTTCATATCCATGTAATGTCCATCAACATTCACCGTGTTCATATAAATGTTCACCGTGTTCATGCGATTTTTTACAAAAGTACCCTCTGAACCGTTGTTCATAGGCATCTCAATTAATATATTAATTAAATGATTATTTTTATAATCTCATTTAATAAGGACCGTTTGATGAGAAAATAAACGATCAAGATCGGATTAACATAGTTTGCACAATAGTTTTGGTTATTATTTGAACCAGCTCCTATATATATATATATATATGTGTGTGTGTGTGTGTATATGTATGTATATATATATATATGTGTGTGTGTGTGTATATATATATATGGATGCATGTAAAGGGTATATTTCTTTTACAACCTTGTGTATTTGTACAACYYTTGCAACCCAATTAATTGAGATATTTATAGAAATGATGAGAGTTCATTTATTATGATTTGAATATTTATGGAATATAAATAGAGTTCATTAATTATGATTAATACTTTATATTATGAAACAATCAAAACTTCTATAAAATCACATATTCATCAAATGAAATGGACGGTTGAGATTAGGTTGTATTGGTTGCACAAATGTCAAAGGTTGTATAATAACCAACCTCTGCATGTATATATATATATATATATATAATATATATAGGGTTGGGTTCACGTGAGACTAATGGTTTTTTGTAAGACTTGTAAGATCAATTTATGTTAATTGATCAACTTTATAAACTAATGGTCTAAAGTTGCACGGTGGCAATTTTGTGAAGTCTTGTGGCAATTTTGTAATTATGAATATTCAGATTGTAGATCTAATCCAAGGGTTGAGAATTGGTCTTACGGGTCTCACGAAAAACCTTTGTTCTCACATGATCTCAAGTCTCAATATGTATGCATGTAAATATATATGTGTATATATAATATATACATATGTGTGTGTATTAATAGGGGCCTAATCAAATGAGAACTGTTTTGTTTGTGGTAACTTTGAGATCCAATATCAACCACAAACCAAAGGTTAAACTAGAAAATTAATAATTTTGGTAATTTTACTTAAACTATTAATTAAGAACATTTTAGAGATTTTATAAATATTCTCTTTCCTCTCTCTAACGAATTTTATTCGACGAACCTTATTCCGACTGAACCTTACGTGAATACAAGATACACATTGTGATACCTATAAACGATATTCACTGTAATACCCATATATACATACAAGATGCACAATATGACACCCTTCGTAAAACAATGAAAATAATGAAAATGCACACTATGATGATATCTTTCATAAAACAAATAAAATACATTGTGATACACCTGAAACATTATGAATGTTATCTTTATGATACACTTTGATTCACAAAAACGTCTTTAATTTTCGATACCATGTTTGAAAATATCTGAAACCCCCAAATTTCTTCTCCAAAAGAGCTCTTGAGTAGAAAATGAAGGTTCCAATATATATATATATATATATATATATATATATATATATATATTGGTAAATAGTTTACTAAAGAGGTAATAAAGAAAGGTTAATAATTTTAAGGTTGAAAAAGGAAGGTGTTGAACCACAAGTCTCAATTCTCAAGTGGTTTGGACTTTAGACTATGTGATGATGTTATGTAGTTGGGGACTCTTCTTGTTTGTTGACCTAAAATTAGGTGAAATTACCATCAAACCCCTTGAGTCATTTTTTTATAATAAAGTTGCTTCTAACTTTTCTAATTATATTATTGAAAATTATATGTGACCAAGGACAAGTACTCAAACTCAACCTTTCCATATCACATATTAATTATTATATTTGATTCTTCATTATAAATCATGATTCTAAATAGTATCAGTATTTTACTAAGATTTAGAATATCTATTAACATATATTTATTTCATATGTATTCGTTTTATGATGTGAACCTTTTTAGACTGTTTGTAAAGCAAAAACTACACATAAAAAAATATCACTTTGTGAAACTCATACATATATATTTATACTATATTATAAAGTATTTGACAAAAACTCTTAAAAACCGTTTTTATGCATGAAATACTCTTTATTGATGAATGTTACTTAAAATTCAATTTTGCAAGTAATTTTGCATAAGTATAACTTATTAAAGCTTCATTTTTAAATTCGTATAACTAATTGGTAGATAAACATAATCAAATACAGGATAAACATTCATTTTAAATATAAAAAATCTAAAATCTATCTAAGATAATCATTGAGTTCTAATATTATCTATATAAAAAACTATATTGTTAAACCAAATATAAATTATTTTGTTATAAATCTAAATTAAATTATAATAAATAATTGAATTAAATAAGTTACACCAAAAAACAATAACTATTAAATAGTTAATTTGATATCTTGTAGGAGACTGCCTGTAACTTGTTTAACAACACAAATAATGTTAAGTCAAATTTCAAGGGCTAGTTGTGTTCTATGATGAAACATACAGGGACTAACAAGTCAATTATTTAACTTGATGGGCTAGTTGTGTAACATTTCATATACTTGCTTAATGTAGAATTGAGACGATCTAATCATCTAAACGACATGAGTCTCTGACGACTAAAACAAAATAACAAAATCAACCATAAGGGTGGTGTTTGATTGGTTTGAGTTTGACTCCAAATGTCAAAAGTATCTGAAGGTCCCAGACTCAAATCCAATGAGGAATAAAAATTCTCTTGTGGCCATGGAGATTCAAATGCAGTGACTTCGT